GGAATATTTGAAATTGTAATACTTTTTTAAAAAATGATTTTCCATAGTATTTAATAAATCTCTAATTCCTTTTTTGCCCACCCATGCACACTTTTTTCTTGTCAAGCTCAATAAGGGAGAATACAAATCTCAAGGTCAATGTGCTTTGTTATCTTAGTGTTATCCTGTGGTGTGGGGCATCCTAGCAAACACCTCCCCCACCCCACAAGCCATTGATTAGTAAATATTCCACAACAGATTTTACAACTTACTTACTGATCAATTATACTTTATATTGATAAGAATCAAATTATTTGGCTTGGTCTAAAATAGTCTATGTATTTTCACCTTAAGGACTGAATTTTCCATGACAAGGATTGAATTTCAATTAAAAAATACACCATCCTTCATTAGGCAAGTATAAAGAAAAAAGAAATATTATGTTTATCATTCCATTGCCCACACCCTGCATTTGGCCATCCTTTTTTAAATTGTGTGAAACATTAGCAACCAGCACCTAAAATTACTATCTCATGACTACACTCAATTCAGTCACGACGGACGAGGCATAGCTGCAGTTCTGCTACCTACTAGCATGTGTGATTCAATGAAAGTACAAACTGACAATATGGAAATATGACATATTCTTTATGTAAATAACATTTTGATCTTTAATTTCATACTGAATTACTTAACATCAGGTGAACAAGTGAAGAAAAAAAAAAATCCAGGCCAATTTTGAGAAGGCTGCTCAGACAATATCCCTGCTTTCTAACAGTGGCTGGTCACTTTAATGCCAGACAAATCAAGATCCACCCTAAAGGAGGAAAAAATAAATACAGAATCCTATGTTCATCTGATTTCTGCATCACTAGACTCCTCCCTAAAGAACAGACTTCATTGTTACTGCAATTACTATTCCCTCCACCGGGCAAAAACACAAGCAGAAGGGGGAACGCTATGAAAGGGTATCTAGCTGTGTTTCACAGCTTCTGCCTTACTCCACCCAGTTTCTCCTTCGCTCAAAGGCTGTACTCGCCCTCCACAAACACAATCTAACCGAACAAGAGCAACAAAAACATTCCTGACGAACTAGCTTTCTGATGAAAGAAGCCACGGTTAAAAATGTTTTCTTTGTTCAGCATCTCAGTTATTACAAGAATATTCTGAACGACTTTGAATATAGCTGGGTATCTTCTCTGACAATTTAATTAGATGCATTTAGTAATAAATCTGAAAATGGAGATCAATCCCACTTTTCACACTTACTGTGTGTGCATACGCACTGACTGGTACAACCTACAAATATATCTCTACAAGGAGATGCTGCTCCACATGTTAAAGAATTTCAGAAAGATGTATACGCAAACAGGTTAGTGTACCAAGAAAATTGCTGTTTGAGCAGTTAAGAGAGGGAAGAAGGGGAATCCTAAAATTATACTGATAGATTTCAGTGACCAACTAGAAAATTAATTGCCAAATAAGTTAAACTGCAACAATCAAATTCTACTGCAGCATTAGCAAGACAGTTTTTTGCTATCAAGGCAAGGCAAGTGCAATAGTATTAATATATTCATATTTTATAAAAGCTGCAGGCCACACCAACTCTTCCCCAGAGGTCAGGAATGAAAGACACCACAGAACGTAATATTTAAAAAGCCCCTTTTTGAACAAGTTCTAAGGAAAAAGATCCTTTACCAATATTATTATCTCCCCTTCCCCTTAAACAATCAAAGCAGGGGTTTGTTTTGTTTTGTTTTTAAAAAAGAACCACTGAATCTTTAAAACAGTAGCAATAAAACACTAGACCCAAACGTGTGGAATCTCATCTCCCTATTCTTTATCTTCCACTACATCCTCCTCCCATTTTTGCTGCGGTTCAATCTGAAGCTTTGAGCCACCTCCTATCAATGATTTTTCTCTTGCTCAGTCACTGCAGGGAGACGGGTGGGAAAAAGGGCCTCTTGTTGGAAGACCAGATTAGAGCTGTCAGACTGCTCTGTATTTTGAAATCCTCAGGCCCTTTATTACAGCACAACAACACATTAACCTTTAGCTCTTCTGTTTATTTGCTTAAACAGTTATGCCACCTTGCAAACAATCAATCTCCTCCCATTTTTAAGAAAGGAAGAAGTTAATAAACAAAAACAAGAGGATGGGTGAAAAAGGAACATCCTTTCTTAACTAGACCATCCTTCTTTATTTGGCTTGTAACAGTCACCTTAGTTTAAACACCTCAATGTTCGTTTATTGCTAAGTCACCATGAGAAAAACCCTAGTAGGAAACCCAGACAGCCAAGTAAGAGAGGTGATGGTAAACACACAGAGAAGACCCCTTAAAAATACAGAGCTAGATACGGTACTGCAGCATGCTGGGTCTATGGGCTGGGAAACAAAGCTAATGGAAACACTGGGCTGAAAAAAAAATTAACAGACTATGTGGAGGAGGAAAATAGGAAGGCGAGACTAAATTACAGGCTGGCAAAGTATGGAACTGGAGCATTGGGAGTGGAAGATGCAGGAAAAACGGGCTGAGTGACAACGGATAGAGTCGTGGTAGGTGTAGGTCTGATTATTTGGAATTTATAAGAAAACTGGAGCAACACATAATAAAGATATGTCAAAAAAAAAATAAGGGGCTACTTGGGAAAGGTTGCATACTAGTTTAAGGAAGCTGGGAATAGCTGACTATAATAGCTGTCTCCGCTGATGCACTAAGGTGCGCTTACTGTGCTAGGAGTTAAAAAACGCCAATGCCGGGAAGCAAAAAGGCCTAGAAGCAGAGCAGTGAAATATGATTTCAGAGTGACAAAGCAGTTGCAAGATGAAAAATAAATAAATAAAAAGCACTGGGAACAGATGAAGCAGAAAGGCTGTAGGGATGGAAAACAGAGGATATTGGCAAATTAAGTCCCCAAAGGTAAGCGAGTAAGGGGATTCTGAGAGGAAATAGCGGAAAATGGCCATATCTTACTACTTAATTAGGTAAAGAAAGAAGAGGTGTGTACAGAATGGGAGGAGAAATGCAGTTAAATAGGATTGTATGTGATACAATTGAGGGACTTGAGGAATGGAAAAGGAAACAAATCACACACAGTATATTTAGGCTGAAGTGGAATTCTGGGTGAATGCAAAACATGTTCCAAGTTACATCAGAATATATGATATAAAATATAAGTCTCTCTCTCAAACCTTGGAAACCTTTTAAAAGAAGATAATAGCTATCTGTTAAAAGGGTTATATACTGATAAAGGACGACTTCTAAAGTTATAGGTTACCTGTTACCTATAATAGGAAGCAAGATAAGGAGAAAGGGGCTGTTACAAAGGATAAGATGTATCCTCACATACACATACTATACTGTCTAAAGAAAGGCAGAAACTGAGAGACCCTTGTCAAATTCCTTGTCAAAAAGGTATATAGGAGAGTGATAAGGGATATTTAAACCCCAGGAGCGACAAGGGACATCTACAATCCTATTCAAAAAGTCGCTTGTCTACCTCTCTTTTAAAAAAAAACAGATAAAATGAAAGAGAAAATAACCTTTATCCCATTACAGACTGAAAAAGGGCACTCTACTAGACACCTATGCATATGGGTCATGACACTCATCTACACCTTACTGAAAGGCTGATAGATGGAAGCAAGATATAACTCATCCCGAAGAGATGGGGTCAGTGGTAGAGAAGAGCCAGATGGAATAAAAAAATGTGGAAGCTGCTTTGTGTAGAGTAAAGAGAGATGCACAGAAAGCTTTAAAAAAAAAAGAGCTGCTGTCTTTGATATGAAGGAAATGAGGGAAAATAAAAGGTCTGGTCAATAAAGAGCAGAGAAAGCAAAAAAAAAAAAATGTGAAAAAGGACTGAAGGGAGAAGGAAACATAGGCAGGGTAAGACAAACAGAGAAGAGGAGGCTGGAGGATGAAGGGATGGTGCATGTAGGATGAATGAAGAGAGAAAGATGTAAGTAAGAGAGGCTGGGAAAGGGGAAAATAAGTCTGTTTAAGACAAAAAGATATGCGGCAGCACAAGAAGGGGGGGGAACCCCATCCCCCACACAAAAACCTTAACCCCCTTTTCCAAGCTTCCCTCACCCAGCCAGGCTTTTCCTGACTTGCAGAGTCACCCAGAGAAAAAAGAGGGAGGCTGGGAAGTGGGCCAATAAGGCCAGAACAAACAGGAGAAAGAGGGGGTGGGGGGGGAAATCAGAAGCAAAGAAGAATTATAGAGCCCATCAACCATTGCAGAGCTCTCTTGAAAGGCAGGGAAGATAACCCGGGTTTGGTTGGGTTTTGTTTTTTTTTTTTGTTTTTGTGAAGACCCGAGACAAGGAGGCTCTCTCCCTCGGCCAGGCTGATCGGGAGTTGTTCTAGTCCAAAAGCATCCCTCCTCGCCCAGCCAGCCGGGAATGCGGGGCCGAGGGGAGGCGGCGTGCAAAAGGAGGGGGGGGAAAGGGACGCCCGTCGGCAAATGACAGCAGGGAGAGAAAAGGCGAGCCCGGCGAAAGAGGAGGGGGGAGGGGGGAGAAGCCCCCCCCATCACCGAGTGCGCGCGACCTCCAGTCGCTCCCCCCCCACCACATACACACACCCAATCCCGACACCCCCCCTCCCCTGCCCGCCGCCACCGAGTCAATGACGGTACCTCCAGGTCGCTGCGATCCGGGGAGGATGGAGCGCAGGCGTGGAGCCGCCGGGTCGGAGGGGGCGTCTGAACCCTCCGCTTCCCCCCCCCCGTCTCCACGCATGGCGGTGAGGGGCAAAAAGGGGGGGTGCCGAGCGGAGCCCCCTCTCTTCCTCCTCCTCCCGCCCCTTCCTTCCCCCCACCCCAACGGGCGCGGCGGCCATTTTGAGAGCGAGCTGGAAAGCAGCGGGCGAGGGAGGAGCGGCCGCCGGGGCCTACCGCCTCAAAGCCCGGGGAGAAGCGGAGCCCGACGGCCCGCCAGCTTCCTTTCCAACCCCCCCACATACACATATACCCAACCCGCCGCCGCCCCTCCCTCAGGACTGAGGCCGGCCTTACCCGAGGAGCCGCTGCTGGTGGTGCTGTTGCTGCTGCCTGCGAGGCCGCTCCTATCCACCGGCTCGGGCTTGCTGCGTGTGTGGCGAACTGGCGGTTTCGGCCCCTCCCGCGAGGTGAGGAGGAGCAGCGGCGGCTTCGCCCCGGCAGAGGAGGGGTCTCGGGGCCCCCCTCCTCGCTCTCTTTTTACCGGCTTGTGTGGAGAAAGAAGATGGAGGAGGGGAGGGGTGGAGCAAAGGCGGCAAGCGGCGGCTTCGTCGAAGGTGGTGGCGGTGATGATGATGGTGGTGGTAGTGGTGATGGTGCTGGCCTTCTTCGTCTTTCTCCTCCTCGCGGCGGCGGCGACAACGACTGGCTTTTCCGCCCCGGCCGTGTCAGTGGCGCCCCGGCCGCCAGGAAGGAAGGAGGGAGGGAGCCGGAGCGAGAAAGGCGAAGGAGGGAGCAGGCTCGGCCCGCTTCAAGCACTGCGCATGTGCGGGGAGGGGAGGGGACGGGAGGCAGGACACCATCTTGGGGAAGCTAAAGCGCCCCGCCTCCCGGCATGCCCTGCGCGGACTCTACTCCCGGCAGCCCGCGCGGCCTGTTTCTCTCAGGCGGTCGCTCCCGCTGCTGCATCTCGGTTGCCCCTTCTGTTCAACTGTCTAAAAATAAAAGAAATAAGCAGCTTTATAACTCAGCGCCGTTCATTATCCTTATCTTTTGAAAATCATAGCCTTTTTCACGTGGTTTGTATCCTCGAGATACGTCGGGACTTCAAATCCCAGAATTCCTAGCTAATGCGGCTTTGCTGACCAGAGTTACAGGAGGGTCGAGTCTGGTACAGTGTGGAAGGCAAGCAGACTGGTGGAAGATGGGCAGCCCCCGGGCATGTTCATCCTCCTCTTCCTCTTTATTTCCTTCAGTCTGTTCGATTTACAGGAACATGGAAATAGCCAGTCCTGAAATAAAAAGTGCACAGTGGCCAATCCCTATTGAAACAATCTGGAAAGAAAACAGGTACAGGTATTGGAAGAGGACCAGAGAGAAGCCTGGGTTAAAACTCCCCAGCCAGTCGTGAAAGGCTGCATCATAAAGACCAAAGTCCAGTTGCCTTTTGAAAAAAAAGTACCTTTGGGAGGATACGGTTTGTGTGTCGCTTTAAACCCAAGATTCGTTTAAACTTGGGTTTTAAATCTTGGCTTAAAGCAAGGCATGAATTCTGGAAGTTGAAGTCCCACAGATCTTGCAAGTTGCTAATGTAGGAAGTTAGCACCCACCCCTCTCCTAGAAGAATGAAATATTAAAAAGGAAATATTTATTTATTTTATAAACAAAACATAAAACAAATCCATCATCCATTACAATTGCAAACAGTGTGTCAGTCGGTTACAAATCTTTTCTGCTTCATCCCCATATTATTAAAAAAAGGAAATATTAAAAAAGCAGAACCAATCTCATTGTACATATGTTGTGCACTGACAATAAAGATTTGAAATTTGAAATAATATACCTCCCTAGATGAGAAATGGAGAAACATGTTTTTAAGCAGGAAGCAGACTTGCTCTTAATAGCCTCCACACTCTCAATTGCCCACAGCAGTTGTCAGCACTTAAGAGATAAAGAGATAACTAGATCTATTCATAAGCAAATGCCCTCATGCAAGATCCAACAAAGATAGGATTAGCCCTCTACCCATCTAGCAACAGAACTCACCACATGGCCCCTGGGGGAGATTATATCACCCAGCAAGATTCAACCAAGCTTGGGACTCAAAAGACAACTTACAAAGTCGTCTTTTGCATGGCCCCATGGGAGTCTGACAACCAATCAGAACACAAGCTCAAATTCAAAGCCCAACAGAGGGTATAAAACCCTGGCACTCTCGGCATCTCTGCCTTTTTTCACCCAAGATCTCCAAGGCATGTGATCCTTTTCATCAATAAACCTTCTTTCCAAGCAACTTCCATGAATCCAGTGTCTTTTTCCCCACTTGGAACTGAATCCAGAAGGATATTTCTTCCAACACAAACTACAGTGGTTGGGTTTTGCAGAAAAACTAGATACTGTAAACTAGAATTTGAAAGTGTTGGTATCAATACTGCTATTAACCTGCCATTATATTTCCATCTCCCATACGGACATTTGCTTATGAGTAAATACTACTATATTTAGAACAATAGGATATTTATTTATGAAAAATTATATGGCTGTCCAACTCACTCTCTGTGACTCTGGGCAGCTTGCAAAGATAAAAACGTAATATAAAACAATAAACAGCAATATCCTTCCCTCCGCTCCTCCCCTCCACAACAGTTAATCAAATATGTGACTTGATGAGCTCCATCCCAATCTGGCTTCCCCAGGTCTGTTGGCAAAGCCAGGTCTTCAGGTTCTTGCAAAAGAGTGTGGGGAGGGGGGGTGTCAATCTTATTTCTGATGTTCTACAAGGAAGAAGCCATCACAGAGAAGATCCCTCTTGGTCCCATTAGATGCACCTACTTAGGAGAAGAGACCTGCAGCATTCCTTGCCTCCCTGCTCTGATAGGTCAGGTAAATGTAACCTGGAGAAGATAGCCCTTCAAATAACCTGGTCCCAAGCCATGTATGACTTTAAAGGTGACAACCAGCACTGTAAACTGGACTCGGAAGCAAATCCGCAGCCAATGCAGCTCCTGCAGAAGAGATGACTCATTTGCACAAGTAGGCCTGAAGAAAATCATGCAGGCCGCTTGCCTTTTATACTCCAAAATCAGGATTAGGTTAGCCATCTTAATTATTCATAATTAACTGTTACTTAATTGTGACATCTACTATTTTGTGTTTTTATGTGTGTGTGTGCACACGCATATGTGTAAGCCGACATAATTTAACTATCAGAAATAAATACATTAATTAAAGCATGTATATAAATTATTCAAGAGGGTCCCCAGGAAGATTGCATAGTAAAATAAAATGCACATTGACGCAAAATGTTAAAATTGATCACAAGTTTAGCAACATAAACTCTTGAAATCATTAAAGAGGCTTGCCAAAATATAGAATATGACCCTAGTGAGCTTAAAATCTGGCATGTGACACTAAGATAACACAGGAAAGTAGAAGGCAAGATTGAGATAAAACTGCTTTACAGTATAATCTTTTTGTAGACTATTTAAAAAATTACAAAAACAAGGCAAGCTCTGCCAGGTTGTTTCAGTCTTAACAGATAACACACTAAAAGAAAATTGGATAGGGAAGGTAGAAAAAAAGAATAAAAGTTAATTATGAATCAAAATAGAAGCAGTGACAAAGTTATCTTTTCCGCTATCATTTAATATTCTTCTATCTATACAGCAACAGGTGATTAGTAACAAAGCTTCAGTCAACTTTTAGGTTTACAACAAAACATAATTATATTTTATTGTGTTGACTTTGTAAACCGCTTAGAGAGGGCTGTAAAGCACTCTGAAGCGGTATATAAGTGCTATTGCTATTGCTATTGCTATTCACTATTATACTTCTCCATTCACACATTTTCAAAGCCACTGTAAAATTTTTGAAACTTGTTATACATATATGTTGGCCTTTGGCAAGGCATTAAAACTAGATTTTTGTCATCAAGTCTAGGGCCTGAAAGTGTGGATGAAATCATTTGTCTGGTTATATTGATTGTGTAATTATTCATGGCTGTTATTTTATGCTGTCTCGTTTTTGTTTTTAATCACTAGTTGTGTTTTCACTTATTCTTATTTTGTTTTAATTGTTAGTCTGGCCAAGAAACAGGAAATTTGAGTTCTACCTTAGGCATGAAAGCTGGCTGAGTGACTTTGGGCCAGTCACTCACTCTCAGCCCAACTCACCACACAGGATTGTTGAGCAGGAATGAGTATAGTGATTGTTTGTTACTTTGAGTTACTTATAAAAATAAAAATGGGATAGAAAAATCTAATAAATAAATACATATGTGATTGGCTGCCTCATAAATTTACTACATAAATAAACTCATCAAATGACCACAGTATCTGTAGTTTTGTGATTGTGTCAAAATATACAATAAGAAACTCTTAGTTTATATTACTATGGAAAAAATTCCACCTCTGCAATCTGGAAGAAGGAAAAGTGGAAAGGGGGATCTTATTTTTAACAAGGGCAAAGCCAAAGTGGAAAGGAATCAAATCAGTTACTCTTTTTCTTTCATATCTTGCTTTTTCCATGTCCTCCCTCCCTCTCTTTATTTGCTTACTTATATAGGGGGGGTGGGGCTGCCTCTAAGTAAGTGTTGACTCCTGGCAACTGCCTGAACAAGTCCCTGCAGTTTTCTTGGCAAGATTTCCGAAATGGTTTGCCATTGCCTGTTTCCTGGTGCGAAGACTGATTGACTGGCCCAAGGTCACCGGGCTGGCTTTGTGCCCAGAGTGGAACTAGAATTCACAGTCTCCCTGTTTCTAGACAGCTGCCTTAACCACTACACTAATCTGGCTTTCATATTTATTTAGCTAGCTATATTTATACCACGTCTTCCCTTCAGGAGCAAAAACCATCCATCTTTTTGGATATTAATTTCTGATGTACTATTCCCTTTTTTTTTTAATTAAATTTATATGCCACCCTTCTCCGGAGACTCAGGGCGGCTTACAATGCGTTAAGCAATAGCCTTCATCCTTTTGTATATTTATACAGTCAGCTTATTGCCCCCACAACTGGGTCCTCAATTTACCTACCTTAGAAAGGATGGAAGGCTGAGTCAACCTTGAGCCTGGGGAGATTTGAACATGCAATAATTGCAGACAGCTGAATGTTAATAACAGGCTTTTAGTCTGTTGAGCTATCCAGGCTCTTTGTGTTCCTTTGTCACTGTTGATTTTATTCTATTATTTTATTTCTATTCTGTTTGCACTCCTTTCCTTTCTTTTTAATGTATGCCGCCTAGAGAGATAGCTGGCAAATAAATTTAAGAAATAAATAGTCTTGGAAGAAATGTCCATCTGGGTTCAGTTCCAAGTAGGGAGAAAAACAGTGGAACCATGGAGGCTGTTTGGAAAGATGGTTTAATGGTGGACAGAACCACATGGGTTTTTTGGGTCCTGGGCAAAAAGATAGATAGATAGATAGATAGATAGATAGATGGATGGATAG